ATAATATCAATATATAAAATATAAATATATGTTAAAATATATATAATAATAATATATCTGTGATAATAAGTATATATTAAATTAATTGCAAAAATAATATATTTCTGCAATATATATAAATTCCTATCACATACTATGAAATGTATAATATATACTTCGAATTTACTATATAATTAATATGATTAATATCATACGAAGGATACAATCATAATAATAATTAAAATTTAAATACGTTTAAAAGGAAACCTCATTGAAGAATTTAATCCCAAAGCTATCAATCCGTATTATATAATTTAATATTCTACACATACGCAAACGATAATAATTGAAGTAATATCACAAAGACAAACACTAATTGTTACCAATTAGTTTTCTATCGAAATAATAATTAATATTAATTGTATCTAAAGCAGCTGCAAATTTTCATGAATTTCAACATGAAAACATCTGAAACCAGTCATTTCGATTGATTTCTTGGTTGTTGCGTAAAATAAAAGAGAAGAAGATAGGAAAGGAAGAGAAATTTACCTTCCATAATATCGAATGATACCATTGGTCCCTCGTATAAGCATTACTCGCTTGGAGAAGAAGAGAACTGTTAGGCAGAAATATGCTAAGGCAGCTCTCGTAAGTAGGATCCCATCTAGTAACAGCATATTTTCGTATGTCTGACATGCTACTATACGGTATTGGTTGTCGAAAAAATCCCGTTCGCTGAAACAGAATAATTGTTTACTTAGAATAATTTTAGAAAATACTACGATCAATGATGTTACTTAAAAATTTATATTTTTAAAATTAGCTTGTATCGTTTGAATCATTTTATTACTAATTATGATTTCATCTTTAAAATTTGTAGAAAATTTTACAAGTTTTCAAGGATGATGTGCATATGCGAGCAAAATGTTTTTTTATATTTAGCATGAAAATCAGGATAATCTGATACATATATTAACGAATTAATTTTTATAGTTTTCGTGGATTATTTTAATGATTTATAATTAATAGTAAGTAATTTTAATGTAGTTTAACCCTTTGCGTTCGACAATTTTTTGGCTAAAGAAGGGTACGAGTTGAAAAATTTTCTGTTATAAGGCTGATGACATTTTTTGAGTAGTAAATAAGAAATTGTATAATAATTAACAAACAAAATTATTTAATTTCGAATATCTTGCACACTGTTACATTATTTTAAATTTGATATATTAATTAATATCGAGCTTCGAAATTTTATCAAATGGCGACTGAAGGGCGCCTCTCGAGTGCAAAGGGTTAACTCGAATATCATTTAAATGGAAACTATAATTATTTTTTATTTTAAAATAAATAATTTCATCGTTATAAAATGAAGGAACAGATTTTAAGTGTTTTCATACTTTTTATATTAATATTTAAATTCTAGTTCCAGAAATGATACAAAATACCTTAATATCAAATTTAAATGTCCAATAAAATATAAATTTTACGCTTGCTTCAGAGTCGTTTCAATGACAAATGCAATATTTGAACTCTCAGAATTTAATTTCAATTTACGGGATTGCAATATCGCAGATTTCAAAATTTAATATTCTACATATTAAATTTCAAATAATTAAATATGAAATATATAAAATACATAAGATATAAATATAAATTGTAAATGTATATGAAAATATAAAAAACAAATTATAAATATATAAAAGAACAAAAAATAATAATTAAATATAAAATATATATTTAAACATACAAAAATCACTATTTCAAATTTCTTCATATAAATAACTTTTTTCTAATCCTTTTTAATAGTGTTAGTTAATCGATCAACAACATATAATCTGCGTCAGAAAATTTTCAATTATAATACACGATATTAATTAGTTACAATATTACAGTAGCAATGACAGTATATTGATAAATGGACCTAGTATTATATATTACATAATTATATACCAGACCTAGTATTATATATTACATAATTACATACTAGATCTAGTATTATATACTACATAATTACATACTAGACCTAGTATTTATATACTATATAATATACTACATAATAGAATAAATTAATCAAGATTTAACAATATTTAATGTATCAACAGAAACGTTCAGCAATAGAATTGTAAATTAGTCATAATGATACACCGTAATATGAGAAAATGTGAGAATCTGTGATTATACAAAGCAGGCTGTTACATAATATTCGGTAATATAAGAATAAATAATAGTAGTGCTAGTACAAAATAACAAGTTACTCATAATATCGAGCTTATAATTTATTTAGATGCTATCTCAATTACAAGACAACAAGAAAATTCGATATATCTGTAAAAAAAATATAAATAAATGAACATTGTATAATATAATATATTTATTAGTTTATGATAATTTTTCGCAAAATTCGCTTTAACATACGATTTAACGTAAATTAACATTTGTTAAAATTCGTTAAAATAATTTATTCAATTATTATTGAGATAACAGAAATAAAAGTTATTTAATTTTTACCTTTATTTTTGGAATAAAACCAGATGATAACGATACTTTCCAAAAATCTTATTTTCTTTTGAATTAAACTACTTTCTTAACATAAGATTGTCATACAAAGTTCAATAAAAATTTCTTACGATATTTGATTCTTTCTTTTTTTGTTTATAATTTAATTATCATTGTGTAAAGTTCAATTAAGGTTTTTTGGAATGGTTTATAATTTACTTATCATTGTGTAAAGTCGAATTAAGATGTTCAAAATTCTTTTCCTGTCATTTAATTTGTCGTTAGTAGAAAAAATATATTTAACAACCGAGTTGTACCCTACTTTCCTCTATTAATTATTCGCATATAAAGATTGAAAAAGACCAAGAGGTCGAAATATTAATAGAAAAATTTTATATTAAAATAGCAAATCAATGATGATATTGAATAACATTAGAATTAACAAAGAATAATATACAAGAAAGTTCGATGATGAATAATCATAATAAATTAATAATATCAAGCTAACCAAGAATTCCATCATTATGCCCATATTTTAATCGTATACAGTTTGACGTTTAAATAAAAAAAAAACCACAATAAAATAACAAATTAATCGTACTATCAAGCATAATAAATAACGAAGAAGATTAATAAATGACAAACGAATAAAAATAAATTACAATACGAAACAGCATATTATGACGAACAATAAAGTGTCATAAGAAAAATCCAATAATGAAATTAATGACAGCATCAGACAGTCCACTAATGAAGAATAATGTGCCTACTATAAACAAAATTTATCGACTTATATTAAGACTATAAAACTTGATAGGTTGATAAAGATGATTAATATTAGAATTTATCGACTGTGATATAAATATAGTATGCATAGATAACAATAATTAAAATCATATGATGTGAAAAGATGGCAATACATATAATATATAATGTATAATATATAATATATAATATGTAATGTATAATGCATAATATATAATATATAAATAATATATACAGGGTGTTGCAGTAAAAACTAACATATTCGTTACCTTTTTAATTATAAAACCAACAGAAAAATATTCAAATAAAAATTATGTAATATTAATTTTTGTCACTGACAACCTATGTACGTTTCTGTTTATCATCTAATAATAGCTCTCAAAACCAGTACAAATACCTACAATAAAATATAGTATATAATATAATAGATATATAATTTACATATCTATATGTATTATATTTAAGCTATATATTTAATATATATTTAATTATATATATTACATATTTCATTTAAAAAAATTCTTTAAGTATATATATATAATTATATACAATTTCTACTTCATGAACAACACTAATGTTCATATACAATATTGTATTATTGCGAGCTGAGAAGGACTTCAGCAATGGAAATAGTAATAAGAGCGGTATCTGGTTTGGCTCGACCGTCTAGGTGATGTCTGGAGTGCGCGTGGACGGACGAGTGACCACGTGCAGGGATTGCATGGATGAGATACTTATGACCGAGTCGAGTACAAGCAACGAACGAAAGTCTAGGAATGTGTCCGAGTGTTTGAAGTACCTGGCCAACCGAGAGCTAGGTCGCGTGGGAAATGAGTGACCAACGAAGAGAGCTTGCGTATGAAAAGAGAGAGTGTTGACTTCAACACGTTAAGTGCCACGCTGGTCCCCAGGGGCCGGCGCTAGACTTTCCGTTCGGGCCCGGCCGGACCTCGGGAACCGGCCCAGACTAGGACCCAGAGGTGCTAACTTTTGGTGTTAACCCTTTCGCGACTACGGATGACTATAGTCACCAGCCACGAGACGCCATCTACACACGATAGGTGACTATCGTGTCACCGGACACAAAAATTGAGTAAAAAGTTAAGACAAGTGTTACCGTTTCGCTTAGCTCTCTTCGCAAATAATTGCAAGCTCTTCGCCATCTTTGGACCTAACGTTTAGGAATTCCTATTATGACAATTGGTACAGTATCTGAGTTTTATGAACACTCGCCCGCCGCCGGTGCCCACTTGACGGTTCAGTCTGGGCCTGAACGGAACGACAAGCAAAACGTGCTGGGCACTTTACGTGTTAAATAAAAGTACAAAGGCAAGGCAGAATGCATGCAGTCGAGTCATAGTGAATAGAGAATCGTGTGTTTGAGAGTTAGACTTCAAGAATTGAGGGAAACATGGTGTAGTATTTTAGTTCCACGAGACGCCATCTACACACGATAGGTGACTATCGTGTCACCGGACACAAAAATTGAGTAAAAAGTTAAGACAAGTGTTACCGTTTCGCTTAGCTCTCTTCGCAAATAATTGCAAGCTCTTCGCCATCTTTGGACCTAACGTTTAGGAATTCCTATTATGACAATTGGTACAGTATCTGAGTTTTATGAACACTCGCCCGCCGCCGGTGTCCACTTGACGGTTCAGTCTGGGCCTTACGGTTCGGCAAATCTGTCTTAAGTTCTACCAATCGCACACGACTTACATGAGGTGTCGTACCTATTAGAAAAATATAATTCGGGAAAAGTTAATTTAATAAATTACAAAAGCACGAGTGAGAAATTAAAAACAAACAAATGATTAAAACTAAATATTTATTTATATTAATTTAAACATGAAACAATAAAGGTTAATGATTGAAATGGGGCACATCAACAAACTATGGGCGTGACACGTGGTATTCACATTTGGCCCGGCCGACATACCACGGGCCAGGCCCGTGATAGTCAGTTTTGGCCCAACCGATGTACTACGGGCCAGGCTCGTGATAATCAGTTTTGGCTCGAAAACCTGACCACGAGCCTCACACGTCGTTGCAGGCCAAAGGATTAAACGCGCAAATCTCTGTCTGCATAGGATTTATCTAGCATTAATCCTACAATATTGATGTTTAATAATTTCATGAACAAATACCCTAAATTCAATTATTTCTCTAATTTGATAGTTTTAGCATATGAAGTCCTTTGCGATACAAATCATATTAGATTCTTTCATTCAATATCTGATTTTACTTTTTATTTTTATTTTTATTTTCACACTACATTATCGGCTATACATACAATAATAATTATATTATAATAATTGTTGAATAATAATTATAAGACATCGTATAATTCTGAGTCAGCGATAATATACATAAACTGACACAAAATGAAATATCCTAGCCTTCGTAAAAACCAGTTCAAACATTATGGTTATTTGATACACGCATCGAGGAGGATGCATGTAACAAGAGAAATTTAA